CCTACTCAGAAATACTAGGTCTGAGTATAACATGTGAAATAAGCTCACTTGCATTGCTTTCCTATCCTTTTCCTCCTAGAACTGATTACCACCAAAATTACTTGTATTTGCTTGCTTTTACATTTTGTCTCTTATCACTGGAATGCAAGTTCCATGAGAGAAAGTTCTTGTCTGTTCACAGCATTTAGAACACAATAGTGTAGGTTCTTCATGAATATTTAGTGAATGGTGTTGGTGCCCCTACATCTGTTTAAAACATGGGGAGCTACTTCATAGTACTAATACTGATGGAAATAATTTGTCTACACACAAAAAATTAAAACAGCTAGAACTAAGATGGTATATGGAAAACATAAAGGAAAAACAAACTGAAAAATTACTTATTATTTTTAACATTAGGAAGCAAAATTTGGCCTGAAGATCTATTAGTCTTAATAGAACTAAACATCGTTATTAAATGCATTAACTGAATAGAGTTAAATTTAATAAAATTAAACTAATGACTATAGTCTTACCTAGGAAAATAAAAATATTATAAGTCTCAGAAGAAAACCTATAATGGCTAACAAACAAACAAAAATCAAATTTTATTATAAAAGTTGCATTGAAACAAATATATCCAGTGGAAAATATTCAGAAAAAATGAAAATGGAAAACAAAAAATTACTTAATTCTTTTGGATAGAAAATTCTTCAATGAATTCAGTCATATCAACACATAACAAACACATTCTTAGTGGAAATTCTCTGTTGTTTATTTAATTTTGATATTTTTATATTAATAAATAGAGAAGAGAAGCAAGGTAACAATGTCATGTAAACATTTTCTTTTAATTTATCTCTTTGATCAATTGGAAAACTTCTGATCTTGGAAGCTAATTATTAAGATTATCTTTTCATTAAGATTTTCAAGAACTTCTGATCTTGGAAGCTAATTATTAAGAATTTAAAAAGCTTTTTATTTTAAAATAATTTTAGACTAAAGAAAAATTAAGAAAGTAGTAGAGTGTACTTTCATCCACTATCCAGCCTTTTCTAATGATAGCAACTATGTAACCATAAATAATATGGTTTTCAATATCTGGACATGAAGCATTGCTACAATACTCTTAACTAAACCAGAGACTCAAATTTTACCCTCATTCTACCTCCAGTGTCCTCTGTCTGTTCCAGGATACATTCCAGGATAACATACTACATTTAGTTGTCGTGTCTCTTTATTCTCCTCCAACTTTTTGCAGTTTCTCAGTCATTATCCTTGGCTTTCATGACTTTCCCACTCTTGATAAATGCTCACCATTTATTTTGTAGAGTGTATCTCAATTGTGGTTTGCTTGATGCTTTCTAATGATTATATTGAGGTCTGTCCCTTGGCACAAATATTACAGAAGTGATGTATCCTTTCACTGTATGATACTGTGTGTTTATGTTGTTTATATATATTATTACTCATTGTGATAATCTTCACCAGTCAGCTAAAATGGTGTATGCTGAGTCTCTCCACTGTAAAGTTATGATTTTTCTATTTATCATTGATTATATCTCAGAGGAGATTCTTTGAGGCTCAACCCATGTTTTCATAAGGTTGTGAGTTCTGAGTAGAATTTATTGTATCATTTGGCAAACATGAAATTCTTTATTACTTAAAAATACTTTCTGGAGTCTTACTATGATGCATCTTTGAAAATTGCAACTCAAAGTATAGACAAAGAATGTTAGTCTATAATAAGAATGTTAGTCATACACCTAAGAATATTGAAACACTAGGACATTTCAACCTATAAATAATAATATTTATATCTAGAAATAGTATCTCATAAAATATTTTAATACCTCACTTAAATTCACATAATAATCTAATGTGATGATGTAACATTATGTTATAGATTATTATTCCCTCATTTTCAGATGAGTAAAGTAAGGCTAAGAGAGATGAAATTATTTTTCCAAGGTCTTACCACCAATAAGTGGTAGGGAAAGAAAACATACCTGGCCTTCCTCATCTACTCCCAAGCATTTTTCCCACTGCACAGTGATGGAATGGATATGATTAGGTGGTTATGTCACTGAAAATATCTGTGTAAAGTTGTGTGACTTCTTGATGAGGATGTGGCAAAGGTGAGTAAAACATTAGCTGTGTTGTCACAATTTATAAACTTTTAAGAACATTTCTGAAGTCAGGAAATCCTTCATGATTTTTAAGTACAGCAATGAAAGGCCTATCTAATTAATTTATTTTATTACCATATATTTATTTTAATTTATTTATATAAATTATAAATTAATTTATTTTATTACCATGTATTAATTGTACAAAAGTGTTTCAATGTGATATTTTCATACATATATATAATGCCATTTGATCAAATTCATCCTTTCTGTTACTATTTATCCCCTGCTCTCCCTTTTAAAACAATTTTAATGGCTTTCATTAATCTATAAAGCACATCTGTCATATTCATCTTATTACCCTAAGCTTTCTCTCTCCTCACCCCCACTAGTTCCCAGTCCAAATAGACCCCATTTTATACACGTCATTCTTTTTTATTTTTTTTTTAGATCTAGATTCCTCATGAGAGAAAACACACAATATTTGCCTTTCTGTCTGATTTATTTCTCTTATTAGTTTATTTTTATCTTCTTGTTTTCCTTTTTTGGAAGCTGAAGAAAAAACACTTCTTTTTGCTTATCTCAGTCGACTAAGCACTGGAGAAGTTCAGTGAAAGGAAGGATATCTTTGGCCACAAACATTTTATTTACACAATTTGCAACCTTGTTTTATTGAGTAATAACAAAATTTAGAGCCCTGCCAAAGTCTCATTAAGGACCCTGGGTCTGGGAACTAGTTACAACAGGTACCATTTTTCTGTCTTTGCCACTGTAGACTGAAATTCCTGGAGAACAAGCAAACCCTACTGTCAGTTAGTTAGCTTCATTGGCATTAATGAAATAAGTCTATTTTAAAATTGTTTTGTTTTTATCCAATTTTATAAATGTAATTTTAAAGAAAAATAGCAGGGACAAATGCTTTGGTTTGGTTTGTAAAATAATCACACAGATATTGAGATACTCTAGTAAGTTCTAGCTGTTTTATCATCAGAGTCACTAATTTTCTTTTTACCTTTTATAATAATCATAGATTAAAATGTCTCTTTTCAAAGACGCAAACTAAGTCTTCATAAGGGAAGTGAATATACAGCTAGCACATGTCAGAATTTTCTTTTTTTCACTTAGACATTTTTAAAAAATATTTTATTAACATATATTAGTTGTAAAGAGGGTTTCATTGTGACATTTCCACATATGCTTACAATGCATCTTGGTTAGACTCATCCTTACCATCAATCTCCCTCATCCTTCTCCTCCCTCATAATTTTCATTTATGTGACTTTTTGTTTTCCTTCTAAGTTATGTCAGCTAGTAATGATACATTCTAAATTTTGAGTTTTTTCTTACTGATATAAACTATCCTTGCCCAAGGATAGTTTGGTTGAAAAAAGAAATTCAAGATGAAACCAATATGGAACATTTGAATTATGGTAAAAGGCCACAAGGCCTCTCCTCCTGGTATTGATTGAAAAATCAAAAGGATCTACTTTTAGCTTTTCCTCTTAAAGCAAAAACTGACTTCCATATGGAGAAAAGAAAATCGATGATCACTTTATAAAGTATGTTTAGCAATTTGGACTAAACATGAAATGAACTCAGAGGGTTTTAATTTAGATTAGCAGACCATTGACAGGAAAGAGTTTTGAATTTAATTGTGGGTAGGCCCTTATTTTTAATGGTCTTTTTACCATGATGCAAAAAGTAGAGTGATTATGGTCAACTTCTTTTACTTTCTATGTTTCTAAAATGGAAATAATGGATATACTTTTTAACCTACCTGATAGGCTTTTTATTGAAATGAAATAATGAATATCAAAGGGCTTATTGGAAATATGGAAGTATGAGCTTTCCTCATTTATATCATTAATTATATTTCTATTTGGAATTCTCCCTGAATCACCGTCATCTTTTGATGACAAGTGAAGAACTCCAATGCAACCGGCTTGGTGAAAAGAAGGAACATTTTTAGTTCATTTAACTTAACAGTTTAAGAGTAGGTTGATGTAGTAAATCAAATGACTTTGTCAAGAAGTTATCTCTTTTCTCTCATCCTTGTTGGCTTGGCTTTGTTCTCAGTCAGCCTCACTATGATCTATCAGTTTAACCAGCACACTGGTCTTGTGCCCATTCCTGAACCAACATCTGTGACCAGAGAATGTTTTCCTCTTATTGATTCAGCCTAAGCATAAGAAAATTCCAGCTCCATTTAAACTGCATATGAACCAAGAAGAAAAAGGTTGTTCTCCAAAAATCAGAAGAATTCCAAATGGTGGAGTGGATGCTGGGCTGGAAGAAACAAACTGTCTATTGTGACTTTTGTAAACCTATTGAACTTCATTTCTACCTGGTGAAATTCTACCAGTCCTTGTCTCAGGACTCTCTTGATATCATCCCTGATCCTTTTGTTCTGTGTGATGTTTCCCTCTTTTGGGTGCCTTTAGTGTTTGATGCCCCCTTTTGCTTCTCAGTTTAGTGAACTTTATGTTATTGTCACAAGTTCATTTTGTAAGAATCTGAATTATAGTCAATCTTTATTGAGGCCAGAGACTGTATTTTATTTGTCTTTAAAAATTGCAGCAGCATGCAACAAGTGACTGATTCATAATAGATTATCAGCAAATATTTATGAAATTGACTTCTTAATGTACAAGTTATGAATAATGAAAAGTAAGAAGACAAGGCAGATAGTTCTGTTATGTACATAATTTATTAACTTGCTAATTTATTAAAAGACAGAGCAATATTAACTACTCTGAAGAGCCAGGTATGTTTAAGAAGTGAGGAGAACTGCAGCCCTAGGAGGATGGGCAACTTTGTGAGGACTGATTGGGAGGGGTATTGTAGGAGATACTCTGTATTAACTAACTCTGCACTTCTCCTTTTGTTCTTCAGTTGTCTGGGTTCACATCTAAACTTGTTCCAGCTATTCAGAATGCCCACAAGATTTCTACTGGATCTGGAAGAGGAAAGGAACTGATGGTGTTAACTCAACCCATTTTGATTGAGACCTACACAGGGCTGATGTCATTTATTGGAAACCGCAACAAACTTGGCTATTCCCTTGCCCGTGGGAGTATTGGTTTTTGAGGCATTTTTGTGGACCATATGGTATCATATGTGTAGATATGCCATTTTTGAAGATTTTATTTAAGTTCCTTATAGTTTTGGACTGAAAACAATAAATTTCTTTACAAATAGTACTAGATGACTGAATATTTAGTATTTTAGAAAATCTAAAGCTCGATTGGACTGATAGATAAATATTTCAGTTCTCATATAAGAAAAATAAGATATTTTTAAAACCAGAAAATAAATACTGCTGAAACCATCAAATAATGTTGTCAAGTAAATGCCTGGTCATAAGTTCCCAGAAGCCTCTCTGCATTCTTGTTCCTTCTACACTTTAAATGTAGGCATTTTTCAGGTCTTGGTCTTTCATTCTCTGATCTTAATTTATTCTCTCATTAGGTTGTCACTGTCTATTATTTTAGCTACCACTTTTATGAGGATGACTTCCAAATTCATATCCCCAACCCTAATATTTATTCCAACTTTCAGTCTGCTAATCACTGACATATAAGTGTTCCAATGGCCCCTCACATTCAACATTTCCCAAATCCTGGATTTCTCTCCAGTATTTTTATGGTCCTATTCATTCATCCTTGAAATCCACCAATTTTTATTGGTTTAAATTCCTTGCCAAATACACCTCATTTATAGTCGTCACAAATATGTGTGGCTTAGCATTGTACCTTGATGCCCAGATATCTAACTTAAGCATTCTTCTGGGGCTGAAGATATAGTGCTTGCCTAACATTTTCAAAGTCCTGGGTTTAATCCCCAGGATGAAAATAAAAATCTCATTTTCCTTTAAAATTGTTCAAACTACCCTTCTCTTTTCTATTCTCATAGCAATAGTACTAGATCACCTGTTTAACTGAGCTTAGTTGATTATTACCATAGTCTTTTAATTGTGATCCCAATTCCAAGGCCTTTTTACTCCATCATGCTCTTGACTACCCAATATGTAACCACAATTGATCATATCATCCCCTGATCTAGAATTTTCAGTGGCTTATTTCCTTTTGTAATTTTTTGTTCAAATATTTTTTCAGTAGCAGACCCTTTCCTTCTAATGAAATCTTTTGTAGAAGGTCAATATATAAAACAGAAAAAAGAAGGACCACTGTGGGTGAAGGGGAGAGGGAACATCTTTGATCTTTACCTTTATTGGTCTCGGGGTAACCAATTTGGAATATCCATGGAGATTTTGAGGACCATGCTTTAAAAAACACTATCCTAATTTGCTTTGGTCCCACAGTGCTTTTTCCTCTTGCTTTAAAAATTTTTTTACTTAAATTTATTTTTAAAAGAAGCTTTGAACATTGATTATCATAAACATTATTACAGTAAGCTTTTTGCATTTCCTAAGACCCAAAATTGAGACGCTTTGGTGATATTAAAATTAAGCAGTCTAGATTTTTCTTTTTGGCTTGTGTAAATTTTATTTTTAAAGTCTTTTCATCAGAAAGCTTACTTTCTCAGTTTAAAAGTTTTGTTCTCTGATACAGTCACAGACACCAATTTGATGCAGGCATTCAAAACCTAAACCTTGAATAACCCTTATTTTATTTCATCCCTTGTTTACTTCCATTAATATTTCTTTCCTTCCCTCTCTTACCTCTTTATAACACCTACCGTTTTTTCCCCGTGATGGCAAATATTGTTATAGTCCTCAAGGCAAGGAACTTCTATTCATACTGTAAGAGGAAATGTTGAAATCCTTAGCTGTCCTGTCAACAGTAGTGAAATGAAAAGTCATTGAATTGTTTTGGCAGTGGTTCTGACGCAGGCATTATTGGCAAATTGCTGTAATATTTCAGCCCTCAAATCCCCATTTGCCTCAAGATAGTGGCATTTGTTGGCGAAGCCTCTGAAGTATCCAGCACATTCTCTTGTCTTACCATTTAAGGGTTACACTGGCAACTGATCTTTCTCTGCATATTTGTCCCTCTTGTAAACAAAGCAGTACTAGTGACAAATGACCTTCTAAGGGGACACAGTAAAGCATCATCAATGGATGCTACTTAGAAAGAATGAGAGGAGGGACACATTTCTTAGTCCTGAGAGTATCTGTAATGATAGCATTTCAGGGAACCAAAGATGTTTCATGTGAAGAAGAGTGAAGGCAGAGATGACATGAGAACTGTCTTTACTTTTCATAGAATGTTAGATAAGATATTTCATTAATTCATAAATGAGTCCTAGAAAGCAGGATTATGACCAGAGGGTGAGAGGATTCAAGAATTGAATAGCATTCAAGATAAGAAAGAACAGGCTATAGTTTCAAGTGTCCCATGGTAGAGGGGTTGCTTCTTGAAATGCTGAGCTCCATTCACTTGACATATTCAAGAAAGACTGGATAAAGTGGATACTGTGAAAGGCACTGCTCTAATATAACATTGGGAGAGCTGATATAATGCTTTAAGGCCGGTGACCTTAGGATTCTCTACATTAGATAAATGTTCAGGTAATTAGCTCTTTTATTTTCTTTGTAAAGGGATGAATAAATCATGTGAGATCTTGAAGAATTTCCTTAACTTTTCTTTTTATTTTTCTAATATCCAAAATAGAGGCAATGATACCAATCTGCCTATTTTGTAAAGATTTTGTGAGGGCTTAATGAAGTGAAGTCTAATTCCTTTATTAAATGTAAATTATTAAGTACCTGCCTGTAGAGTGATGTGACTTTTGCAACAGAACATCTGGCAATACCCAAGGTAGCTAAATTCAGTTCTATACAGAATTTTTTCCTTATTCACCATGGGCTTACTGACTGATTTCTTTTCCTTTGACACTTGTTATTCTTGCTTGGGTCTTTGTCTTTAAACTCAACCAGCAGCTACAAACTGGAGAACCTATATGACATCTAGGATTTTCCTTTAGAATTGTCATCTGAACAGTCCCACTGTTTCTAAAAGAGGAACTATGAACTTAATTGGGGAGTGGATTAGACAAGAGAGAGACATTAATTACAAAGCATATTGTCACAAAAGTATCTTGGTTGGTGGTCTTTATCTGATATTTATCTCACTCAAGTGTTCCCACTAGAAAATTGCCACTAAGCCTCCTTTCAGAAACTGCTTGAATATATCCATTGACAGATTTCTCACAGTCTTCTAATACATCTTGGACAGATTTGATGGTTAGGAAATTCTCCTTGTGTTCTCCTAGAATGTATAATATCTGTCTGCCATCTGTTTCATTAAACAAAAATTATGATGAACTGCCGTGGAGTAAGCTTGTGTTTCCATGCCAGGATGTGGGACATTTGGGAAAAGAAGCAAGGCTGATGAATTCTATAGCATTCATAAGAGGGAGAACTGTCAAAAATCACCATGCCTGACCTTCCACTTGTCAATTAGGCCTCTTTGGAGGCTTGACCTCCAAAAGGCAGACAAGAGAAACTAATTTATAAGATAGCTGCTTTTGGATCTTTTGCCTTGAGGCCTATTTTCACTGCTCCCAATTCACAGAGCCCTGGGGCTAAGGAAGCACAGAGACCTTCTAATCCAAAACCTTCATTTCACAAAACAGGAAGCAAAGGCCTGAAAACTAGAAAGAAATCTCTCAAAAACAAGATAGTAAATTCTTGGCAATAGACTAAATGTTCCAGTTCCTATTTTTGACCCACTGCCTTTTCCAATTTAATATTTCCATTCCTAGGGAAAGTCAAGCCATTTGAATCAAGGTATCATAGTTATTAGGTTAATTCTGAAGGGAGAAAACAATAGGTCATAGTTGTTTAGGGGGAATTTCCAAAAATTACCTTATTTTCTTAATGGCCAAGGTCACTCATAGTGCTCTCTGATTTCCTATCTGATCAAAACGCCCAAATAAAGCTGCGGAAGCCAGCAGAGCCAGCAGATATTTTGTAAGGCAGTTTTACCTCTGCCTGGTATTTTGTGGGGCAGGAGAGGGAGGGCCAAAGTATTAAATTTAGGCTTAAAAGCTCCTCAGAAATTCTTTACACACAAGAGACCAAGTTGGAGAAAAAAAGATGACTTGTGCCAAGGGGAAGAAAGAGAGAGGCTAATGCCTGTGGTTTTCATAGGTTAACAACAACAAAAAAGCCCAGGTATTTGCACAGGGATGAATGCTTATTGGCTGTTGGCCAACAATTATACAAGGGCTTGTGCCCACATCCTGTAGCTGTGGTTTAGGGACACTGCTCATGAGTGACTTCTTATGCTTAGTGGCAGGAAACTTTAGTCACTGATGTGTAAACTCACCTTTGGTCTGCACCTCCCACAATGTGCTCTAAAGGCAGCTAGGGGGCCAGGCCTCCTGGTTTCTTTGCAGTTATCATTCCCCCACGGACAAAGGAGGAACTTCTTTTGAGGCCTTAGGAATGAATGAGGGTTGATCAATACTTATTCCACCTGATCATGGCAACCCCTCAGGATAATTCCTTAGCCATAAGGAGTAATTATGATAGGTTCTGTTAAACCTTCTCTTTAGCTTCAGAAACTAATACTAAATAATGAGAGCCATATTTCATTTCAGGGTTTTAGTTAATATGAAATATGATGAACAAAGTCATGAAGCTGCTTTTCAGCCTAGATATTCTATCTTATCTATTTTATACCCAACTAAAAAAAATTCTTAGTGAACACCTAAGAAGTCCCCTTTTTAGTAAAGCCAAGTGGAATGTGAAAGCCCAGTTTAAGTAATTCTTGTGTTTTTATTATAGATATGAGATCTCCTGATGCTTTGGTATGGATGCAGAATGTGTTGAAATTAAGTTCTCCAAACCACCAACTTGTCTTTGTGTCTACTCACAATGCTTATCCCATGCATCTCAGAAATCTCTTTCACATTCACTTCTTACTCTTTGTGGAATAATTGATTAGGAGATTGAAAGGGCCTTTAAAATGTTCTAGTTTAGCCTGCTGCCTATTTCAGGGATGCCCTCAACCAAAACATGCATGGCAGATGGAGAGACAGCTTCTGCACAAATATTCCCAGTGCACAGAACTCTTTACTTCCTAAAGCAATTAATTCCACTATTAAGCAGATGCGTCAAGAAGGTTTCTCTGAATATTGCACTCAAGACTTCGTCTTTGGAAATGTATTGGTTTGTTCTTAGATCTTCCTTTGAATATGCCCCCCA